TCTTAGTCTCAGACTTGGACAACGGTCTATGTCTAATGGAATTACCTATACAAAGTTTATAATAATTAATATTGAGTAGCTACTTGGATTAGTAATGTTTCATTAATATTAATTCAGCATGCCATCAGTCACTTACCAAAGATCTGCCGTTGGCAAAAGGTCTCTCTGCCTCTAGGGGCAACCTTGGGAGGTGTCCCAGCTCAAGGGGAGGTCACCGCCACGCAGCCACGCTGCCTAGCAGGGAGAGCTCAAAGAAGGCCGTCATATTTATGGGATAAAGTCGTTGGCTCATAGCCAAATTACATGCGATGGCAAGGCACGCACGAGGCTCCTTGTACCCACAACATTCTTTGTTCCTTGACAAATGAGTCTTGGAAAAGCCACCCGTTATTCATGTGTTAATCGCATGATCGGTGTTCCAAGCTCACATGCATCAGTGCTCACTGTGTCACTCTGCTCCTTTGTGGGTTTTCAGAGAACAGATGAAACTAGGGGAGTTCTTGGCCTGGCTACGGCTCAGGCCTTTACCTCCTTTGGAGCCTGTACCAAACCACCGCTACTTTGGTTAAGGGGTCGAGTGCATCCGTCACAGTTAGTCTGCTGCCAGCATCCAGGGAGCAGGATTATTATTCTCATCGTGTGGATGTTTTCTTTCCTCCGCTGACTGAGAGCCACAAACGTGTCAGAGAGAAAGTCTGATATATTTGTACCTTTGTCCCTTTAAAATTCATTCGTGGCGGGCGTTACGTGTAGTCAACCAGGGAAAAACATCTTTCTTTATAAAGAAATTAGGTGTGTTTCCCAAACAGCATTTCTAACAGCCAATTTCCCATGTATTCTTCTAGCTCTGGCTGTGGGAATTGCATGCTTGCAGACAGCTGTGGAATGATTATTCATGTTTCAGATCTACAAAGCCGAACATTTTGTTCCTATTCAGGAACAGTGTGGAAGACCTAGCCCAAGTTAGCTGGGAAATGACTTACGGTTTTGCTTGACCTGGAGGATCAGTGATCTTTGGAAGGTTTAAGGCCTCCAGAATCAACAAGCGTAAGAAGCGAAGGACAGGTCATGCTCATATTGAAGTCAGTCACGTAATTTCTTACTGCTTCAGTGGAATCACTTGTACCACCAGCAACTGAGGGGAAAAACAAAAAAAGTACAATGCAATAGTAATTTTCTTACTGGAATCGGAACATTTGAACATTTCTATTTTTAAGTTGAAGAAAGGTTTACTCGCGTCTTTTATCTGGTCTGCCAGTTTGGTGCTGGTGTAAACATCAGGCTTTGTAATTTTTTTCCTTTTATATATGTACGCACTTTCTTTACATATTTTCCAAAATTATGGCTATTGTAGCGGCCTTTAGAAATGAAACTGAAGAATGCGTACAGATGCCCTTTCCAGGAAGAGAGTGAAGTTTTCTCTCTCTCCCCTTCCGCTCCAATAAACATTGATTTATAAACTGTCGAACAGATCACACAGGACGCTAGAATATTCAGTAGCTTGGTAAATACGCAGTGATCTAGGATATGGGTTCAAACATTTGCTCCACGTCACGCAAGCAAGCATGATTTAAACTAAGATCTCTTTTTTTGATGCCTGTTTGCCTGTTGGCTTCTCTCTCACTTTTATTATCAAGCCCGTGGTTGGGCTACCAAAGCACATCACCTGGGCAAAATGAAGAAATCAAGTAAAGATAGAAGATGATAATATACCCTTAGGAGCTGAGCTGATCTGAATATTAAAATATGCTTTGTAAAGAGGAATCTTAGTCTGATTTTTAACTGGTGTAAAAGGTAAACTCTGAGCATTGCCTCGCATCAGTAAGTGCGGCAAGACTAAGGATTTTGCTGTAAGGAATTGTACCGTGACCTAAGATTAATGGCAATCGTGGAGATGCCAATGTGTTTGTTTATCAGAAACTATGAGGAAAGTTGGAACGTTGCTATGTTGTGCCTCACCTTTCTTTGTTACAGGCCAAGCAAAAGAAAAGCCATCACCAAAGAAAAGCCTGTTCTTGACCAGAAGGTGTACGCAAGAGACTCCCTAAATGATTTACCCGAGATGGTACGTTTCTCGTGTGGACAGATGCGGACACCTTCCGATGCTTGACTTCAACCAGACATCTATATCCCACCATGAACTACTCTATACGTAAAGTTGCATTGGTTCGCAAGCGTTACGTGACGGACGAAGGCCAGGAGGGTGTCCTTTGTCGCCTCAACCCCTCGTAACTCCTGCGAAGCTCCGAGTCAAGCGCCTGCCAGCACCCGCTGTGTTCCGGGCCCAAATCCGTTCACCCGCACGAGGAAGGGCCTTTACCTCCACGTGGACGCGAGTGAAGCTAGAGGACCCGTACAGATGCAGGGAAGCTTTTCTATTTATTTATTAAGTCTATGGAAGTCTGCGGGTTTATTTAGACAAGGAAAAATTAATCTCAGTCAGGAGTAAGGAAAATGGAGAGTGAAGGAGGGAGGCGCCGCGGCGCGCCTTCCCTGACCTTCGGTCCCCGGGTGGACCCCGACCTCGCTCGAGGTGCGGGTCTGCCGCGGCGAGCGGCGTTTCTCGCAGCGCCGGTGCGGGGAGATCAAAGGGCGCAACACACAGCGCAGCG